TTACCAACTCTTCTTCCGATATCTGAAGTAATTCTGGCATATTCCAGTTATACTCCCGTGGCATTTTCTTCGGGGACTTTTCTTTGGGGATTTCTTCTTCTTCTTTTTCTTCTTCAGTGTTATATGAATTACAGAATGGATGTTCAACGTGTTCATTTACAGTCGTAACTTCCTCCTCATTATCATTAACAACATCTTCCTTGGCAACAGCTGTTTCATCATCAAAATTCGGGTATTGACCAATATCAAAATCATTACACGTAGGGTCTGTTTCTTCTTCTGAAAAATCATCAAAATCCGAGTATTGACCAAGATCAAAGTCCGGGTATTGACCAAGATCAAATTTCGAATACTGACTAGTACTCACAATTTTTTTTGTTGGCTCATCATCGTCTAACTGGTCAATACGAAAACCGGAATTTGGTGCTGAAAGTTGATTGGGATTTGGATTAGGGAAAGGTTGTGGGTTTTGAGATTGTGTTTGGTATTGGAAATGTGGTGAAACAATATTTGCTTGGTGATGAAATTGTGGTGGAACCATTAAATTTTGAGCACCATAAACTAGGGTTGAAAAACTTAGTTGATTACTACCCGCTACTGATCCAACTTCACTACTTCTAGGTTCAACAACATACAATGTAACATCATCACTTGAAACACTAATGTAAGCAATGAATCGTTCAACATCTTCATTGTCGGTTAACAAATAAACTTTACCATTTCTCTGATAAGATAGCCTAAATCCACTTAGGGGCTCTAAATTCAATTTATTTGCAACACGTAACATTAGAGTTTCATAAGTTAACTTTTTTAATGACAGTTTTAGTTGAAGATTCATGGGTAAAGGCATATATTGTAAAACACCATGAACATTCTCCCATGACCCTCCAAAACACAAATCTATCCAAACATGATCAACATTAGATGATTTCATTATTGTAAATTAATTTACTAAACAAACGAGCTGCGAAACTAAAACCTGTTGCCGGATGGGGAAGGATGTCGTTGGATATAGGAACGGATGTCGCCGGAGAGAGTGATAGATGAAGATGGAATGAGTTGCGATTTAGGATTTAGGTTATGAGTTGCTGCTGCTGCGTATTTATATACCCAAAACATTTGTGTTGCGAAATTAAAACCTGTTGCGAATTCAGAAATCGAGTTGCAAATTTGAAATTCAGTATTGCGATAGTCAGAATCTCGTTGCGATTAAGTAAATTGCAATGCGAATTAGGAAAATCGCAATGCGATTACGTAAATCGCAATGCGATTACGTATTCGCATTGCGATTTACGTAATCGCATTGCGATTTACGTAATCCGCATTGCGATTTACGTAATCCGCATTGCGATTTACGTAATCACAACGCGAATTTGGGAAATCGCAATGCGATAGTCAGAATCGTGTTGCGAATCTGGAAACTGATTTGCGATACCGGAGATCGCGTTGCAAATTATCGATCGCATTGCGATTTAGTTGGTCATTTTGGCAAATCCAAAAAAAGTTGGTTAAAATCGTATATTATAAGGTATTTTTGGTCACTGAGGTTATTTTCTCAATAGAAAAACATGACATACATGGCTTGTTAAAATTCATGTTTGAGCTAAACAAACCACAAGTGCTTAAACATGATGAAAAACCAGAAACGAAACACAAAGGCCATGACCCATTATTGCCAAATCTGATACACAGACCTGTGAAGTTGTCACCTCTCTGTTTCATAAATTTGAGTAGATAGAATATGAATCTGATACACAAAGGCCATGAGCCATTATTGCCAATATTTATCTAGCATATGACTTGGCAACAAGAAATGAAATGCTTATTTATTTAGAAGTACTTAATGATTAAGCAACTTGAATCGTGGAAACAACCTGATGATTTTGCAGTAGATTAATTAAGGCGGCAACCAATACGTGGTGGCAGCAGCAAGCAAATGTTAAAGAAAGGAATTACTATAAAATTAAAGCAATTAATGACGCAAGGAATGACAGCAAAAGAGGCAGTTTAGTTCTCCTATATATATGTACGTGTATTTAACTTAGTTTAAGTATGGATATATGTGAAGAAAATGTACGAAAGAAAGTGAAGCTTAGCAAAGTTTTGTGGTGTCTGTAAATTAGTCGCAATTAGTGTTAGGGTTCATATTTGTATTTTAGTTCGTATTAATAATAGCATGTGAGTTATAAAATTTATCAAGTGCCCATTCACGCTTTCAACATTTAAGCTCCTTCTGTCCCTCTTTCCTGCTCTCAGACTCGACGTGATCCATTAGAAGAAGCAAAATTAAAACTGCTTCACTAAGCTTTACACTCAGGCTAGGTTGTTAATTAGCAGATACGTTGTTAGATGTTGCTGTTGGTGTTGTTAAAAGAAAAGATTTGATCGGAATACTTGTCGTCGTTGAGCTGTGAAAATATTTGTTAAATGCAAGTGGATGGATAATCCAGAACAAAGCCACTCAGAATGAAAGCAACCGTACAATAGCTAACAGCTAACGAACATCCATATCAAATTACCTAAAACTAATAAATAAATGCCTCAAGAGTGCATCAAGCCCTCAAACTTTTGGGAAAAAAGTCAATTAAACCCCTGATTTTTTTTTCAAAGCCAATTAAACAAGCCCTCAAACTAATAGATAAAACTCATACACATTTTATAAGTAATATTACTCAAATTCAGATCACTGAAAGAAAAATGTCATCTTATGATTTCTTCTTGGATTCATTTCGAAGCCACTATTAATTGATATTTTCATGCAATCAATTTCACCCTCAAATTGGACTGACCTAGAAGGCATAATGACATCAATCATAGAGTGAATCCCAAGTGACTTCACCATCAAATTCAATGATAGTCTCAATATTCCTTTGTTTCTAATAAAGGAAAAAAAAGGACAAAAAGTAGCATATTAAGAGTTGATTAGTGTTGACAGCAAACTAATTATAGCTCCCTATTAAATTATGGAATGATTGTTGGATCGACATTTTCTTTTCCAAATTAAAGTGTTAATATTAAATATACTTTAAGTAACTGACTTCAATAAATGGAATGTAGCCTCTTTTGAGGTTTTAATATGAAATAAAGGTATGTTTGTTTGGGGAAAACCAATTACCTCGAAATTCCGTGTTTATTTCACGTAATTCGTTTTTCGGAAAATATTTTTTCGTGTTTATTTCACGTAATTCGTTTTTCAGAAAATATTTTTCCGTGTTTGTTTCACGTAATTCGTTTTTCGGAAAATGTTTTCCAGTGTTTGGTTAGAGGAAAACTGGTTGATCAACGTAAAACATTTTCTTAGTCAACAAAATTTCCTTTGTGTTTTCTGGAAAATGACTTACAGTCTGATTTTCCGTAAGTTATTTTCCTAACTTTTCACTTCAAAGAATAAATACTCGAAATAATTTTATTTTATGAATTTAATATTAATAAAATATTTTAATATCATTTTAATCAAAATATTAATTATTAAAATATTTAAAATATATTTATTAATATTTCTAATAATATAATATAAATATTTTAATATTATAATAAAATAATCAATTATATTATAATAAGATAAGATATTATATTTTTATTTTAATAATATATAATAAATTATTAATAAAATTTATATTATTTATTAATTTCATAGAAATAATATTATTAAATTAGTAATAATGAATAATATTATTTATATATTTAATATTAATATAATAATATTTTAATAAAGATATTTAAAATATACTAATTAATATTTTTAAAATATAATATAACACTATTAATTTAATAAATAATTAATATAATTTATAATATTAATAAAAATACCAATATTAATATTTTAATTAATAAAATTATAAAAATAAATATTTAATAATAAATAAATTATTTTAATATTTTAAAAATAGTAATATTAAGTTTTATGATAAATAATATTATTTATTGTATTTAATATTTGTAATAAATAATTTTTAAAAAACTCATCAACTAGTGAAAGAAAGGTTTAAACAACATCTTCCAAACATCGTAAAACGTTTTCCAAATGTTTTTCAGAAAAATGTAATTCATTTTATGGAAAACATTTTCTGAAAAACGTTTTCTAGAAATGTAATTTATTTTTCAAAATTCAAATCCAGTAATTCATTTTCCAAAATTCAACTTACAGAAAACCAATTACAACCAAACAAATATACCCTAAATTTTTTTGGGACGAGAACAGGGAGAAGCAAGGCGTTTTTCCGTGGTTATGAATGCAAGAATGGCTTTTTCTCTATGATTTTTGTAGAGGATGCAAAAGTTCATTTATTATAGCGTAAATTACATGAATGACCACTTAACTATTCCAGAGATTCTAAATTGATCCATCATCTATTAATTTTTTCAATCAAGTTACTTAACTGTCTAAATGGTGTCAACTAAGTTACATGTCAGTTAAAATCTAATGGAGAAGCTGACACGACAGTTTAAAAAATTGTATAACGAAATATAATCCTAATTACATTTATTTTTATCCAACTAACAAAGAATCAAACCTGGACTGTGGGAGGGGTAGACCAACTTCAACCACTAATACATGTCAACGTCAACCTAACTAATACCAAATACCAAAATCCAAAAGAAATTCAATTCCTTTCATCTTCATCATCGTCATTATATAGTCTCAGAGTATCTGCTTAAGCCACTGCCAAAACTGGCAACATCCCTTGATCAAGAAGGTATCAGGAAGCGAGTACTCAAATAAGTTCCTTGATTCTATTTTTCGCAGCAATTACTTATCCAGTTCTTATAATTTCATTGTTGCAACAAATCGCCGGTTGAAACAATAACAACCAAATAGAAAAACGGATGACAATAATGTGTTGTTACAATTCATGTTGGACGTAAACAAACTTCAAGTCCTTATACATTTATAAACATAATCAAAAAGCAGATATGAAACACAAAGGCCATAAGCCATTATTGCAAAATTTGATACAGACTTGTGATGTTGTCACCTCTCTGTTTCATAAACATACCATTTAATTACCGAGAAATTTACGGCATCCCCAGTGGACGCTAAAGTTGCGTTGAAGTTCTTTACATTTGAGGGCCTGACCATTGCAAAGCTCACCACACACCTTACATGGAGGGCAATTCCAGATGTTTTTCAAAAAAGTGAATTGAAGTGGACGTTCATGTCGGTTGCTACCAATTCGAAATTTGTTTCCAAGCTTTATGTATGGGAGATCCCCAATAGCACAATTGGAATGAAGAGAATTGTCGCAATCATCACAGCAGTAAAACCAGTCATTTGGTCTTCTTTCATTCTCACAGAGATCACAGAAAAGTCTAGAAGTATCAGAATCATCAGAATGAGTCAGAGTAAGAGCATGTTTGTCATACTTGTACCAAGCAGTGAGTGGTTGTGTTGCACAACCTATATCTAAAATGAAATCACAATGATTCATACATCTATATGCATTATTGTCCCCGTTTAATTTAGTGAGACAAATGCAATTCCCTGCAAAGTTGTGAACGAGAAAGAATAAATGCTCATGACTCGGATGCTTCAAGGTGTCCGATAATAACATGCGTCAAATGTCAAACTTGATTCCACGGCCTATCCTATGCAATCTTTATGGTAGCATCTGGAGCTTAATCCTTGACATTCAAGTTTACAAGCACCGGAACACGAATAAACAGTCATACGATTGGTGACCGTAAGCGTAAGCAAGTGCTTGTGGAATGGATGTCGCTTTGTTCTAGGTAATTCAGCACAATCTTTATGGAGAAAAAACTTGCATTGATCACAACTGTAATAAGGAGTTGGGATAGGCCTCATACACCCATCACATTGGATGTCATTGTTGATCTCGCCACTAAAAGCGAGTGTTAAATTGTGAATGTGGTAAGCATGCCTAATCTCACTTGCTACCATTTGCTCTCCGATCTTTATTTGTTTAACATCAGTAATCAAGTTTGACTGTGCTTCCAAGGAACTCTCATTATAGTCATCAGTAATCAAGCAGAATGAGTTGCACAATTTACATGAGCAATATAATGGCAATTAGAAACAGATGAACAGTAACAGCCGTACCTCATATCAACTTCATTGTAACAAATTCGGCACGTCCAGTCTTCAACTTGATTTCGTCGAAGAGAATATGAAAGATAAATCCCATGATGATGTCGAGTTATCAAGATGCCGCGTGGCAATGAAATGCACTTCTTGTGGACAAGAAGATTACATTCGGTACAAAGATAGGGGGAGCGATCACCGGCAGTGTCACAGAAGTCACACATAAATGACATTTTTCTGAATACAAGTCTCCATGGGTGATCATGACTTGCATCAGTGATCGTTGGTGAAACAAAATCACTAATTGAAAGATCAATGTCGCAAAGAGAGCAAGAATAAACAAATCCGTCCCATTTGATTTTGCACAAATTGCAACTACGTTTCTCAGGATGAGCAGGTAGTTTTGGCAAGAGAGTAAGCGGATGGTTAAGCTCGTATGAGTGATCAATCTCAAGGGCTACTTCGCCACATTTCTTATGAAGTTTAAATTTTGATTCAGAGGAACAATGGGGGCAGTGGTAAATTGGACCAGATAATGATTTCTTACAACAGGAACAATCATGCTTGACTTGGTCGTTGTGGTTTGGAATGAAGAGCAATGGATGAGAGTGAAAAGAAATAGGAAAATTTGCAGACATGGATGATTGAAGAAAAGTTGATGTGCAGATCGAATTGACAAGTAGCACTATGATAAACAAATCCCCAAGATTTCCTACCACACAAATTAAATATATATCTCCCTTGATAAGGTGATTTTGGTAAAAAAAGTGAGAGGGTGTTGGGGGTGGAACGATGGTTAAGCAGGGGTTGTATATCTAACTCGGCGCATACCTTATGAAGATAACTATCATATTCATTGCAGCCGTAGCTCCAGCCCTATACAGATTTCCCACACAAAAAGCAATAGCATACTTCGTCTTCTTCTCCACTTGTAACAATCTGGATTAAGCCCAAAGGATGGTCATGGCCGATATGCTGAAGCTCCATCTGTCCATCTTTCCTGCTCTCGGACTCGATGGGATTCATTAAAAGAATAAAAATTAATACTGCTTCTCTTTAGTAGAATACCTGAGGCGAGATCAACGGCGGTGACAGACAGAGATGGAAAAGGATGGAGTGTTTTCATTAAGCTTAAGAAATGAATCGGAATACTTGTCGTTTTGACCTGTGAAAAATAATTGTTAAATGTATGTGAATGAAGCAAACCCAATAACTCATAGCTAATAAATCAGCCCAAACAAAGATCCATATCAAATAACCAAAATTCATTCATCACATTGAATCAGAATCATCGGAATAAGGCAGAGTAAAAGCACGTGTGTTATCTTTGAACCAAGCAATGAGTAAAACCAGTCATTAGGAATGAAGAGAATTGTCACAATCAACACAACTGTAAAACCAGTCATTTGGTCGTCTTTCATTCTCACACAGATCACAATAAAGTTGAGAAGGATCAGAATTATCAAAATGTAGAAATAGCTGGTTAGTTAAGAACGGTTAGATAGGTTGTTAAGCAGTTAGATTGGTTAGCTTTTGTACCAAGCAGTCAGTGGCATCGTCGCACAATATATATATCTAAAGTGAAATCACAACGCTTCATCCATCTATATGCAATATTGTTCGATGTTTGATATTGAGTAAGACAACCCCGATGAGTTTTGTGGATAAGAAAGAGTGAATGCTCATGACTTGTATGCTTCAAGGTGTCCGATAATAACATACACCGAATGTCAAACTTCAGTTCCCGGTCTAAGCAATCTTTATGGTAGCATTGCTAGCTAAATCCATGGAATCCACGTGTACAAGCATGGAAATACGAAATACCACCCCTTCGATGTGAATTTGAGAGCCTAAACAGATGAGTCCAACATCAAGTGTTCGATAATAATCTCATGGTTGTCGCCACCCGTGATCTTCCCTCATTTGTTACAGCTTAAAATGTTCACCATTCGACACTCTCATTGTTCCAAGAGCAAATGGAAGTTCACGCCGAAGAACCTGACACTAAAGACCTCCTTAACACAATCGATGCTTGGGAATTGGAAGCATTGAAAGCTATCAAAAAGTTTAAAATGATCATTATTGGATCCTTAATCACATCTTCTTATCTTCAAGATCCATAGGATAATTAAATAAGTTAGGGAGGTCTAATAAAATTTTTAAAATTTTTGTTAGGTTTAGTGAAATTTGTTTTGAACAATTGGAGCCTAATTAATTTTTTTTTAAAACTCTAGGCATAATTAAAAATATTCAAAACTTTAGGAGCATGATGATAATCTAAAGAAAATTGAGGGGTGCAATTAAAATTTTGATGATTTTTGAAGGGCTTAATGTAGATAAAAGTTATGGCCTCGTTACGATCTATCTCAATATAATTTTTCTTATGACAGTACATAACAGTAGTTCATTATATTTACTATTTAGATGATTATGAATTTCGACATCATTTTCTTTTTGTTGAAACAATAACAACTAAATAGAAAAGCAGATGAAATACATGTCTTGTTACAAATCATGTTGGAGCTAAACAACGACAAGTCCTTGAACATAATGAAAAATCAGACATGAAAGACAAAGGCCATGAGACATTATTGTCCAATCTGATACACACGTTGTCACCTCTGTTTCATAAGCTTGAGCAGAATATCATTCAAGTAGCCGGGAAGTAAGGCATTTCTCGTGCCAGTGGACAGTAAAATTGCAATCAGGTTCTTTACATTGGAGGGCTTGCCCATTACAATGCTCACCACACACCTTACAGGAAGGGCAATTCCAGATGTTTTTCACAGCAGTGAGTGGATGTCGATGCAGATGAAAATCAGTATGAAGTTTGTTTCCAATCTTCATATATGGGACACCTCCAACAGCACAGTTGGAATGAAGAGAATTATCACAATCAGCACAATAGTAAAACCAGTCATTTGGTCTTCTTTCATTCTCACAGAGATCACAATAAAGTTGAGAAGGATCAGAATCATCATAATAAGTCAGAGTGAGGGCATGCTTGTCATACTTGTACCAAGCACTAAGGGGCCATGTCGCACAATATACGTCTAAAATGAAATCACAACGCTTCATGCATCTATATGCAATTTTGTTCCTTAAGTGTACTTCACTGAGACAACCACTACAACTCCCTGCAAACTTATGGACAAGAAAGAGTGAATGCTCATGACTTGGATGCTTCAAGGTGTCCGATAATACCATACATCGAACGTCAAATTTGATTTTCCTGTATTGGCAATCCTTATTGTAGCATTGGTAGCGAAATCCATTACATGCATGACTACAAGCATGGCAATAGAAAAAATCAAACAAGTTACATGAGTTTGTAATCGTAAGCACATGCTTGTGGAATGGATGTCGCATTGTTCTAGGCAATTCCGCACAATCTTTATGAAGAAAAAACTTGCATCGATCACAACTATAAAAAGGAACTGAGATAGACCTCATGCACGCTTCACATTGACTGTCATAGTGGATCTCGCCTCCAAAAGTCAGTGTTAAACTGTGATCATGGTAAGCATGTTTAATCTCACTTGATACCATTTGCTCTCCAATACTTATTTGTTCAACAACATCAGTAATCAAGTTTGAAGATTCATGCAGTTCTTCCATGGAGCTCTCGTCATAGTCTTCCGGGGTAGTTGTTCCATCCCAAATATCAGGATCAGTTGCACAATTTACATGAGCAATATAATGACAATTAGAAGCAAAACAACAGTAACTGCCATAGCTCGTATCAACCTCCTCGTAACAAATTCTGCACGTCCAATCTTTAACTTGATTTTGTCGAAGAGAATATGAATGAGAAATCACATGACGGTGTCGAGTTAGCATGATCTTGCGTGGGAATGAAATGCACTTCTTGTGAACAACAAACTTACATATGGTACAAAGATAGGGGGAGTGATCTCCAGCAGTGCCACAAAAGTCACAAATAAATGACATTTTCCTTAACATAAGTGTCCATGGGTGTTCGTGACTTGGATGAGTGATGATAGTTGGTGGTTGTAAAACATCATCAATTGAAAGATCAAAGTTGCAAAGGGAGCAAGAATAAACAAACCTGTTCCATGGGATTTCGCACAAATTGCAACTACAGCTGTCAGGATGAGTAGGTGATTTTGGCAAGAGAGTAAGAGGGTGCTTACGGTCTAATGAGTGATTAATCTCAAGGGGTAGTTCACCACATTCCTTATGGAGGTTAAAGTGCGACGGATAGGAACAATCGAGGCAGTGGTAAATTGGACCAGATAATGGTTTCCTACAGCCGGAACAATCATATCTGACTTCATCGTCATGGTTTGGAATGAAGAACAATGGATGAGGGTGGAAAGAAACAGGAAAATTTGCAGACGTGGATGAAAGAAGCAAAGCACACTTGATGTGCAGATCGAATTCACAAGTAGCACAATGATAAGCATAATCCCGACATAACCAACCACACAAATTACATCTGTATGTTGATTTCGGTAAAAGGGTGAGAGGGTGTTGGGGGTGGAAAGGATAGTTGAGCGGGGGTATTAAATCTAACTGGGCGCATCCCTTATGAAGATAAAACTTACATTCTTTGCAGCTGTAGCTCCACCCCTCTAGAGCTTTCCCACACACAAAGCAATCTTCTTCTCTACTGGAAACAATCCGATCTTGGATGAAAACCAAAGGATGTTCGTGGCCAATATATTGAATCTCCATCTGTCCCTGATTCCTGCTCTCAGACTCGATGGGATCCATTAGAAGAAGAAAACAAATAAAACTTCTGTTTAGCAGAATATCTGGTGAGATTAACGGCGATGAAAGTTAGATATGGAAAGATGAAGTGTTAGGGAAAATGATTAAGTAAATGGGTTTTCATTAAGCTTAAGTAATTGATCTTAACACAAAGAATCAGTTCCCAACAAACTCTACCCGATCTAACAATTCAGCCCAACCACTAATAGCTAACAAATCAGCCCAAAGAAGAAAATATATTATTTTGTTGAGTAGTTTGACTATTAAAAGTTATAAAATGATTATCTGACTATTTATTATAGTCCAAACTCGTCATTTTCCATTAAAATTTTGACGGTAGTTTGAGCTGGACGTTAACTTACTGATTGAGATGTGATAAAATTTGATCATATAATCTCAAACGACTATCATATTTTCGTTAGCATGTCAACGTCTAACTCAGACGATTGTTATTTTTAATAATTGTGTACTTTACCGTTGATTAAATTAGATCAATAATATTTTGAAAGGTTCCACGATGTATTTTTTTCCTTTAGAAAATGCTAAAAAGTAAATTGATTTTTGGAAGGGGCTAATAGTGAAATTATTTCCTAATTTGTTACACTGTAACGACTAGGCCTTGTTTTTTAAAAAACTTTGTAACCTCTTGATTCTATTTTTCGCCGGTTTTTCGTTTCTGGTTATTTATCCAGTTTTTATAATTTCTTTCTACTTGTTGATCTTGTTTTCCACTTCAGTGTTTATATTGTACAAAAAGTTATAGGAGTGGATGGCACACTCTAACCTATGAATGCTAATAGTTTATATTACCTAGGGGATAAGATTGGACGCAACATTTCATGCTATGAAATACGAAATTTTAGGGAGTTACATTAGAAATTTAGAATAAGTTAATGTCATTAAACAAGGTGCAAATAAAGATTATGATACAGAAAAGTAATTCTCGTTTATTTTTTATTTTGTTATCGTACAAAATTAACGTTCTGAATAAAATCAATAACCAACGTTACTTTCACGACAATTTCTGTTGAACAGATTTGTCCACTCTAAGATTTTTGCAAACCCATTAAAACGGCAGGATAAATCCCAAAATAAATTTATTTGTTATCTCATTTTCACCACGATATTTGAATCGTTTTAGATTAAAGAAAAGTGGAAGAAAGAGTTTCCAATCGCCTCATATCATAGGGAAATATTAAAATTTCACCTACTAGATTGATTTCACATTGTCAATGAAAAACTTGAACTATCAAAATTCAATGTGTGCCCGCACAAATTGTGCAACCACAAAAATCTTGCAAAAATTTTGAAATCTAATTATTTGTATTCCTACACATAAATTGGTGGAACCATGTCCCGCAAAAAAAAATAAACGTAGAATATTTACACAAGATTATATAATTCATAATTTAGAATTGAAGAAAACTTATCGTTTGCATAAATTCCTCTTTATTTTTGCTCAATATTTGTTGTGTCGAATTTTTGGCACTTCTCTGATAAACAACAATGATTAAACTAAAAAGAATTTATATCATCTCGAAAAAACTAAAAATAGAATATGTCTTAAGATTATTGGAGAATATCTTAAATCCGAGAATAATATAAAGAATAAAATAGTGATAAATAATAACAAATATCATTATAAAAATTAATGATAAAGAATGAGTTTACTTATCTTAGGATTGTAAGAATTATAACAATTCAATACCATAATCATACCTTAGAAAATAAAACAAACCAGAATAAACTTCTTAATAAATAAATAAAAATAACTTGAAAGAAAAATATTCTTTTCTTGATTGATCTTTTTTATCAGAAACAATTGAGACATGCCACTACACAATTTCCTTAAGATTGATTTTCGGGCACTCCTTGGTGCTTAAGATCATTGGCCGTCTGTCTCCCAAGATATAACAACTAGATGATCAACTATAATAGCACAATAGTATAGATAATGAACTATCACTTACTCCGACTATCACTGGGGAAAACTCAGTATTTATAGGAGACTTTCAATACAGATTTTCTCAAACTAAATATCTTTCAATGTTCAAATTTAAACAAATAATGATATCTTTTTAATTTGAAATATTCAAAAGGTATAAACTCATTTTACTATTCAAACTTAAATAGATATTATTTTAATTTGAAATATTCAAAATGATATAATTATCTTTAATATTCAAATTTAAATATGTGACAAATACCTTTTAATTTAATATATTCAAAGAATAATTATCCTACTAATATTTAAATTAAAATTATCTTTTAATTTATAATATTCAAAAGGTACATGAATTTAATTTAAATATTAAATCCATCATTAAAATTTACTCATTTTCCAACTGTTGTTGCAAGCGACGGCAATGATTATGACTCATTACTGATGCCTCGGTATAATTTTAATATGAGAGTACATAGCAGTACTTCATTCTATTTAGCATTTAGATGATTATGAATTTTGGTATCATTTTATTTTCTTGCAACAAATCGTCAGTTAGAAACAATAACAACCAAAATAGAAAAGCAGATGACATACATGTAATGTTACAATTCATGTTGGACCTATGTAACAAACTACAAGTGCTTAAATATAATGAAAAATCAGATATGAAACACAAAGGCCATGAACCATAATTGTCAAATCTGATACACAGACTTGAGAAGTTGTGACCTCTCTGTTCGACCAACTTGAGCGGAATATGATCCAAATAGCATGGAAAAACAGCATTCCCAGTAGACGATAAGTTGCATTGAGGTTCTTTACATTCGAGGGCCTGCCCATTGCAAACCTCACCACACGACTTACATGGAGGGCAACTCCAAATGGTTTTCACAACAGTGAGTGGATGTCGATGATAAACAATTCCAAAATTGTTTCCAACCTTCATATATATGGGAGAAACCCAAGAGAACATTTGAAATGAAGAGAATTGTCACGATCAGCACAATAGTAAAACAATTCACTTGGTCGTCTTTTATTCTCAAAAAATCACAAGAAAGTTGAGAAAGATCAGAATTATCAGAATAAGTCAGAGTAAGAGCATGTTTGTCATACTTGTACCGAGCTGTGAGTGGCATTGTCGCACGATATATGTCCAAAGTGAAATCACAACGCTTCATGCATCTATATGCAATATTGTTCGATCTATAATCTTGAGTGGGACAACCACTGCAACCGCGATTAATTTTGTGGATAAGAAAGAGTGAATGTTCATGACTTGGATGGTTCAATATGACCGATAATAACATACATCAAATGTCAAACCTGGTTGCATGGCGTAGGCAATCTTTATGATAGCATTCGTAGCTAAATCCATGGTATCTACGAGTACAAGCATGGTAATTCTAAATATCAACACTTCGATGTGAATTTGAGAGCCTAAGTAAGTGCTTGTGGAATGGATGGTGTATTGTTCTAGGCAATTCCGCACAATCTTTATGAAGAAAAAACTTGCATTGATCACAACTGTAAGAAGGAGTTGAGATAGATCTCATGCACCCATCATATTGGCTGTCATCGTTGATCTCTCCTCTAAAAGTGAGTGTTAAATTGTGATCATGGTAAGCATGTTTAATTTCACTTGCTACCATTTTCTCTCCAATACTTATTTGCTCAACAATATCAGTAATCAAGTTCAAAGATTCATGCAATGCTTCCATGGAGCTCTCATCATAGTCTTCTGGGATGATTGTTCCATCCCAAATTGCAGGATCAGTTGCACAATTTACGCAAGAAATATAATGGCAATTAGAAGCAGAGCAACAGTAACAACCATAGCTCATATCAACCTCCTCATATCAAATTCTGCACGTCCAGTCTTCAACTCGATTTTGTTGAAGAGAATATGAAGGAGAAATTACATGATGATGTCGAGTTAGCATGATCTTGCGTGGAAATGAAATGCACTTCTTGTGGACAATAAGATTACATATGGTACAAAGATAAGGGGAGTGATCTCCGGCAGTGCCACAAAAGTCTCACTTAAATGACATTTTTCTGAATATAAGTTTCCATGGGTGAATATGACTTGCATCGGTGATCTTGAAACAAAATCAACAATTGAAAGATGAATGTTGCAAAGAGAGCAAGAATAAACAAATCCATCCCATTCGATTTCCCACAACTTGCAACTACAGTTCTCAGGATGAGTAGGTGGTTTTGGCAAGAAAGTAAGAAGATGCTTACGGTCGTATGAGTGATTAATCTCAAGGGGTAGTTCAGCACATCCCTTATGAAGGTTAAAGTATGCGATGGATAGGAACAATCGGGGCAGTGGTAAATGGGATCAGATAATGGTTTCCTACAGCCGGAACATTACAATCATATTTGACTTGGTCGTTATGGTTTTGAATGAAGAACAATGGTTGATGTTGCAAAGAAATAGGAAAATTTGCAGACATGGATGATTGAAGCAAAGCACAGCTGATGTGCAGATCGAATCTACGAGTAGCGCAATGATAAACAATTCCCCGAAATATCCCACCATACAAATTACACGCGTATGCACCCCTATAAGGTGCTTTTGGCAAAAAAGTGAGAAGATGTTGAAGGTGGAAAGGATGGTTAGGCTGGGGTCTTAAGTCTAACTGGGCGCATGCCCTATAATGTTCATAAGTGGAAGTGTTTTCTCATCCGTCGTTTGGTTACTTCGCGTCGAATTGCGAGTGCAATTTGATTTTGAAAAGCCTTGTCGCCGATGTACCGATGGTGGCCTTTTTCCAATGGATAGATCAAGGGATGACAAAATAAAATCATAAATACTCAAATATTTCAACAATAATTATATTAATTAAGTTAATATTCCATTAATAATATAAATATACAAATAGGTTAAACCTTAAATACTCAATGAAATATATTCCACTAATAAACTTGTTGCTTTCCATTGGTGTAGTTAATATGTGAATAATGAGTCACCTTCTCAAATGAAATGATGTCCACCAATTGAACTCATCAAGTGGTTTAAATAGTTAAAAGGGAGTGTTTTTTTCTTATAGGCCATGGGTTCAAGCAGCCGTGTGTGCATTGTCAATAATTAAGAAATATTTTGAATAAATAGTATTATTGTAATCACCGATT